TGTGTGTGTGTGTGTGTGTGTAAAAATCATGAATGTAGTAGTCCATACCAGCTCGTGCATAGTCTTTTTCCAAAGTTGTGTATTCTGCTTTTTTTTTTTAATTTCATGTGTCATTTTTCTGTATAATTAGAAAATCTTACTAGATGCCTCAAATTTCCCCTGGGGATTAATAAAGTATCTATGTATCTATCTATGTATCTCTCTCTCTCTATGTATCTCTCTCTCTCTATGTATCTATCTCTCTTTCCATCCATCTTGTTACAAAAAAGGGTGGGATTCTAGTCAGTGTGGTGATTCAACTGCTCAAAAGTCCACATGGTCTTCACACAGTGACAAATTTAATCCCTTTACCAGTAATTTTGCTACCTGTAAAGGTTAAACTGATTATAACCTAAAAACTGTTTGATGGTATGCAAGTCAGATTATAGATGGACTGGAAATACGTTGCAATAACGCATCTCTTGCTCATCTAAAACCAGATGATTTATGTTAAACTTTAATTATTTAGACTCCTAAACTTTAATCCATTTGTGAGTAAGGATGAGTAAATATAACACTGCATGACTCTTTAACATCCTCCGTAGATAATCACAGACTAATTAACTATTGATTCAGGATGCAGTATTTTCTTTTATAGTTAATGTTTCTTTATCAGCCGTCACTGTTTGATAAGACTTCCAGGTCCAGAGTTCAACAGCTGGTGGCGAGCTCAGACAAACTGCGCTGTATGTACTGAACATTTAAAAAAAATCAAACCCAGGAGGCAAACATTAATTCAGAAATACTGTAAAACCAGTCATGCGAATTTATTTATGTGCAGTCATGTCAACAAGACGGTGTGGTTAGTAGCTGGATTCAGTCCAGGCCAGACTGAACATACACAGCAAGGTCCTGGGTGTAAAAAGTATGTGTATGTCTTAAGAGGTAAAGAAAAAAAAAGTTGTTTAGCAGCCACAAGCAAACGTGTAGCAGATGTCTGACTTAAGAAAGCTTCCACATGTGCGCTTGTTTATGTGCTCTTTGGATGTGAGCGGTGTCGTCACCACAGTGGATAGCACACAGCTGTTTTCAGTGCTCGCAATGAAAATTATAAAGAGTTTACCATTTTGGACAAAACACCGAGCTCCGTTAAAAAACAGGCGCTTTCCTTTGAAACCCTGAACTGGGCCTCCTTCTTCTTCCTTTTCCAAAACAAGTTCCAGCTCCTAATTCACACCTTCGGCTGTCCTCCTCTAATAATGCACACTACACATTGCATAACACACCTATGGCTGTTTCCCTTGTAGTTGCATCATATTCTGAGATTGGTCCAAAAACAAGTGTTGGAACAGCTGTCCTATCAGTTCGAATTGCCTCCCTTTTGTATAATTAAATGTTTTTATAGTAGCAAATCCAGATCTGAACTCATATGGTCCTCATGTTGTCAAGTCACACCCAAACATTGAGAAACGAGTTCAAAGCTAGACATCAAAAGTGCCAACGGCTGATTTATTAGTGTGTTTTGGCGTTTTGTAGCGTGTGAACGGTAACATTTCTAAAGATGAGTCCAGAGCCTTGATTTTAAATGAAGATATCACAAGGCGGCTTCCTGCGATTAACATCAACCGTTTACACGTTTCCTGCGTTTGTGTTCAGGACAGTGGAGTCTTCAGTTCGAATGTGCCAGCAAAGTGTGCACGCTGCGCAGCCTCCTGTGGCGTGGCTTCACTTTCTACCATGTTCCAATGACCCCACAGCACGGATACATCTACATCGGTGATGGGATGAAAAATGTAGACCTCCCTTTCATGCTGTAAACAAACCAAACATCCTGTCTTTCCTTTACGCTGCATTTTTCTTTTTTTTTAATCTTCAAATGACCAAAAGTGGTCAATTCCACAACAGTTTGTGTCTACAAGCTTATCTGCTTTTTAGTTCTTTCACCAAAGCTATTGTTACACAGTAAACACGCTGAGAGGCAGAGTAAACATGCACATTTTATTTAAACATGTCTTGTCTTGAGTTTACACAGTCAAAATACCACCTACTTTGAAAAAGTATCACTGAACCCAGTCGTTGCTCACATTAAAGTTATCAGCAAGTTTACTTAAGGCCTTTTTTTAAACAACGGATAGATGATTCTGGGTGTGGTTGATTATAGTTTATTAAAGACTGACGCAGATTAATAAACACAAGTTTGAATAAAGACAGTTGCTTGGTCTTGCACGTCATTATGACATAAATCCGGGTATGCTGCAGATAAATGAGCCTAACCTTCTCTTCATCCTCTGTCAGCAGATGTGCTGATTTTTCCGGCCTTCTGTCTTTCACTGTTTAAAGCAGAGGGGCCTTCCAGTATAACGCACATTGTTTTTAAGTGCTGGGTGACCTACATCCATGAGGTTCTTACGCCACTTCAATCCTCTTTTATAGATGGGTTTTACGGACTTAATGGACCAGCGAGTCAAGTACCTGTAAAACAGAAACAAGATGTCTTTTTTTTTTTCTGCAGTATTAATGCACTGTGTACACAGAAGCACTGGAGAGAAACACAAGTAGAGACAAAGCAGCACCTGTTAAAATGGGGCTTGGACTTCTTTGGGACGTGACCCTCTGGAAGTTTGGGTCTGTGGTCAGGAAACAAACCTTCCACACAGATTAAAAAAAAAAAAAAAAAAAAATTAGGTTTACCTCTAAAAACAAACAGTAAGTTTTAGAAATTAAAGATGTCACATTTTAAGTTTACATCATCCAACTACCAGTCAACGGTGGTTGCAAAGAAAATATCCAAGTAAGAAATTTAAGAATCGCTCATAGTCTGATTACAGTCCGATGGTCGACAATGCCGAGATCATCATAGACCAAGTCAACAGAAATTTAGCTTCAATACTTTTTGTCATGAATAAATGGAAACTGACATGTATAAACAAGTTTTTAGCCCTAATGACCTGTCTTTCAACAGCGACCCTTTTCACAAAACACTATCAAGCTGTGCCTGGTGCATCCTCGTCATTCAATTCAATTCAAAAATACTTTATTGATCCCAGAGGGAAATTAAATGTTGTTGTAACTCATCATCCTGGTTTCATTAAAGAGTTGTTATAGATGCTTATGGCTGTGGGCAGGAAGGTCATGTAGGAAAGGATAGAGCCATACTAATAAGTTAAAAGAAATCTGCTGCGAATGCCTTTGAGCCTGCAACAACCTTGGCTGTCACACCGTGACTTGGAAGGTGCGATATGAGCTTGATTTAGATTGGGGGGGGGGTGTTGTTGTTTTTTTGGTCAGAGGAGAGCTCCCATACAGGTGTCAACGTACAGTTCTAGCGCTTTTGAGAAGAGTTGGACAGGCCCACAACCACTGTCTGACTATTTTAAGTTTTTTTTAACATGTTCAAAATCCAAGCAACAGGGCTGTGTACATCTGCAGCTCACATAAGGATATTGAGAACCTTGCAAATGTTCCAAGACGTTCTGGAAACATTTGGGAGCCTCCTTCATACACCGTTCCCTGACGTCACAGCTCAGTGTGGTACCACATTAACTGACCAACCAAGATTTCACCATCACTCCTTTTGATTACCAGCTTTGCCTTGATTTTAGGGCTGTTGATTATACACCTACTGATGATTCAAAACATTTCCAAACAGCAGTTTTTAGTAGGGATGCACGATATTATCGGCATGGTGTCAGTATCGGCCGATATTAGCGTTAAAAGTTAAATACTGAACATCGGCCATTCCATCAAAATAACTCACTGATATAAAAGGCGCTGTTTTTGTATGACAACCCAGTGACAAGCATGCCTGCAGCGCCAGCACAACTTGATGACGTCACGCACGCCTACCTGAGCTGATCACAGCGGAGAGGAAGAAGTCAAAATGTTGGCGGTGTTGAAGGTTTTTGTTCCGTTGAGGATGTTGGATTCTGAAGATTTTTGGACTACGTTGAGCCTCGCTACATCATCCCCAGTCAGAGATATTTTTCTGACGTACCTTACCCTAAATAAGAGAGCTATGTTCTGACAAAGGAAAGTATATAAAATATCGGTATCGGACAAATAAGTTTTAACATATCGGCCAAAAATCCAATATCGGGCGTCCCTAGTTTTTAGTTCTTCATTTAAACATTTGAACAAATAAATATCTAAAAGGAGGACCACTGATGTCTCCTTTTCTTGGAGTGGAAAACAAAACAAAAAAATCCCACTTGCCCTCAAGGTTATTTAACGACACACTATGGCAGGACTATTCAACAAAACTGCTCAGGGTGCTGCAGTTTCTGAAAACCAGCAGCCCGGGGGTCAGACATCCAGCGATTAAAATCATAAACCAAAGTTTACAATGATCTGTTACCTTTGAAATGTGTTTATTTTATTGCATTGAATCATAAATGCAATTAACAGAACCCAAAACCCAAACCCAGAATAAAAAAAAAACATATATATTTATATATATATATATGTATGTATATATATATATATATATATATATATATATATATATATATATATATATTATTATTATATTGAAAACTGTGCGTAACTGGTGTTAAAGTCTTTTCTTCGAGAGCTAAGTAGAGAAGCTACAAGCTAACTACGGCCGGCTTGTCGTAGTGTTGTCGTATTTGGACACATGCGCAAAACGCTGTGTTCCGTCTAAAGTTTTTTTTTTCCTCGTCGAAAGTTAAAGTAAGCGGTCAGCTTTAGAGAAACCTGTTCTCTGATTTGTGAAAAGAACGCCGTGTTGTGTGATTTTACTGCGAGACCCTCTGACCACAGAGTCATTTTGTGTCAGCTCTCCTTAAAGCGGAAGGAGGCGCCAACTAGAGGGTTGGAGGGTTAAATGTTTTCAGTGTAAAATGCCGCTCTGTTGCTGTTCATTTCTTAAGTGAAATTACTGGAAACTGTTGAGTTAACAACATATTTTTTTGTTTAAAACATATGGCTAAAACTACATTTGATATATTTTGCACTGTTTTGCACTACAATAAAGAAGCTTAATACTTAATTTGTTTATTATTTAAAAACTCTCTGGACCTAGTAGTGGAATGTTCTTAATTCAAGATAACTGATGGCCAAAGGACAACCTATGCTTTTTTTCCATTCTTATTGCAAGTTTTATACCAAAAACATATCGTGATATATATCCTTATCGCCACCCTTCACAATACATATCGTGATATGAATTATATGCCATATCGCACATTCCTAATCCCGACTATTTCCTTCTCATTACCTAACAGTATTAGGCCACTTTCTTGACAAACAATGCAGTTTGACAGCAGCAGGGAAGAGACAAATAAAATCTCTGATGTACACACCCCCCCCCCCCCCAATCCTTCTGATCTAGAATTTGCTGTAAGCACATTTAACATTTTGTGTTTTGTCTGGGAGTAGCTGGGAAAGACTGCACTGTGAGCCAGAAAGTTGGAAAAACAAATCGGCTGTTAAGTCCTATCAATGTCTTGACAGTGAAACTGATTAATACCTTATTATTGCACATTTTACCTGCAAAGTTCAAAAGTCTGCTTAAATGAATGGAGCTTATGGGATTCTCAGCTGTATAAAATACTAAATCTTTTTTTTTTCTTCTTCACAAAATATATAAAAGGTCCAGGCTAATTTTCAACAACTCAACACTATGTTGATGGGACTGTTTCATGTACTTATTCCATACTCCATAATCACAGCATTACTAATCCTAAAGTTACATAAGAAAAGGTTTCCTAAATTTATGTTGTAAAGTAGAAATTAAATTTCAGATTTTATCTATCCTGACATATTCATTTCTACTTTGTCCTTGCCTGTCCAAAAGACAGACACTAACAGTACGTTGTGCGTCTATAACTTTGTAAAGAGCAGATGGTTTTTGGCCCATGTCCTGATGCATACAGACTAAAAATTTACAGAAATTGTACCACATTTAACCATGAGACTAAAAGCAGCTCTGCATCTAAAAAACAGTGTACAATGAGGTCTGACCATACAGAACATGTTTCCAGCATTGCTGAGGGGCTTTCTGTAGGTAAACTAAAAACCCAACAAGGACTAAGTTGCAACAACTACAAATCCAGCCCCACACCAACCTGCTCTTTGAGCCATCTGCACACAAATGGCAATCTTGCGATGCTCCTCAGGGCAAAGACCAGTGATTCGTTTGGGCAGCATCCCTCCATCTGACCTAACGAACTGACTGAGCAACAAAACATCCTGAGAAGGAAACCAGCAAGAACAAATGAACAACTCTGAAGACACGACACACTTACTATAAATAAATATTTAATCCAGGTGTATGTAGCACTTACAGTGTAGGTGTATTTGTGCTGTAGGTTCCATTTGTAGATCGGACACTTGGCTGAGGGATTTGGAGGCTGGGGTATTTCAGGTGTGTGTATGATTTTACCTTCAATCTAACAGAATATTTAACATTACAACAGTTAGTCAAACAGCTGACATAAGTGTACAAGACGGTTTGTACTGCAATTCATTATAAATATAAACTAGAACAAAACTGTAATTATTTATCCAACACCCTAAACAAACAAACAAACAAAAAAAAAAAAGAGTATTTGAGCTAATCCCCAAAGTTTTGCTTACCGTTGTTGTATTACCGTCTTTCGTCTCGGTCACTGTGAATGACACATTGCATAGCATTAAGTTTTAACATAAATAACAATACAAACAATGACACAAACAAAAATATCTTATTTACAACAAAAGATTGAAATACATTTGAGTATACTATACATACTTTGAGTACAGTTAAACCATTATATGATAAAAATTCTTACACTTTCTGAGGTGAAATCTTATTGGAAGCATTTCCCATGCTGTTTTACAAAAAGTCAACAATTTCAAAGGTTTCCCCCTTTTATAAATAATGATAGTTTTTCTGAGGAGTCGATCATAAAAGTTTCACTAAAGCTGCACTCACAGAAACAAATCTACCTCCTATTTACTGAAACCGTTGCTCAATGCTTTTATCTACAGGACATTATTACCAAGGAGAAAACAGATGCGGTTTAGATTTGAGTTTTTAATCACAATTTCCTTGAAAGATTATGTGAACGTGAACCTAAAAAAATAAATAATCTTTATACTGTTGAAAAATGTTGATTATGACGTGATTTTATGTGGCTATCAATGATATTTCAGGTTATAAAACAAACCTTTTCTAAACTTAGCACTGTCAACAACTCAAATCACATGATGACTAAAACCTTTTAATAAAACGTCTCCGTATTCAAAACTGACCCTCCTCGTTAGAAGATAAAATGAGAACCACAGCCAAAACCAAAACTTTAAACAAACCAGACACCTTCATATGCTAACGTGCTAGCCTCATGCTAACAGAACTGGGTAGATAAAATCGTAACGTTTTAAGGTAAATCTCACCTTCGCGGATCCCTCTGCTCTGGATGGCTAAAGCGGAGAGTAGGGGAGCATTTCTCATTAAAACTGGATTTGAGTTGGTGCCAGTAGCACAAAGCTTTAAGCCCGCAAACGACAACCAAACAGATCTAAACATGCTGCGAGCCGCCATGTTTAATTTTTGACCTTCTCCGTTTCCTGTATTGAAATCTCGCGAGAGTTGGAGGAATAACGCGAGAAAATCTTGTAGCATTAGATTTATTTAAAAAACTAAATAAAAACGTATGTATATATGTGTGTGTGTGTAATAAAATAATATAGTTTAATACAAATATGTGCAAAAAATTAAAAAAAAACCACATGTAATTCTGTAACCATTTTTACAAACCAACTCTTTTTACTGAATTTTTCCCATAAGGGTCAGACAGTTTCTTCTAGTGCTTTTCCTCAAAGAGAGGTGGGGTCGGTGTCCATTCTTCTATTCATACCAGGTTCATCAGATGAAAGGAAGAGAGGGATCTACAGAACCATTGTCTGAACATGCCAAAAGGTCCAAGATGCAGGTAAACTCTTCATTCTCAGATAAAGTGGAGGATGAAGTGTCTGATGTTTGATAAAGCTATCAGGAGAAAACTATGTCATTGTCCACTTGCGGTGTTTTTGTTAGCTAAAAGTCAGCATTTATCTCATGTTTTCATCTATGTGCATAAAAGGAGGCTTTAGGGAGACGGGCCTGCAGCTGCATGTCTACATGCAGATTTCGTCTCTTAAAGAAATGATAGTAACTTCAGAACATGAGCAAAGTCATGAGGTCATTTTGAGAACGAAGGCACCCTGGACATTTAACCACTGGTGGTATCGTGCAGCAACATTTTAATGTGCTTTAGTTTGTGTTATCAAACGTAATGATCATAGGCAAGCATGCACCTTTACGAAAGAACATCTTTGTACAGTTCATAGTGGGCCTCAAACAAGAATAGAAGGTAACGTGACAAACAAACTCAGTGAGAAAAATAAAACAAAAATGGATGTAAACAGACCATTTTAAATGTTCCAAAATGGATCTTCTAAAACGTTGAAAACATCGCTGACTTTGGACTTTATCATTCATCTTTGATGGTATCTCAGAACTGGATGTGTCTTTGTGTAGTTGCAGCACAATGAGGACACATGAGTAACAATACTATCAGACCATTTCTTTGAAAAAGTTTTAAGAGGATGAATATGTCTGCAGCTGCTGACTAACAACAGGGCTTTGGTTGTGGCAAAATGATGTGAGTTATTAAAAAGTAACAAAGATTAAAATGAATGTTTTGTATTTTTTTTACTCTGTTAACATGTCATGTATGGATGATACCTATTTGATTATGTTTCTGCTCAAAACTGTTGGATAGTAGTTTCTAGTTGAGGTTTCTTGAATAAAACCAGACAAAATAAAACAAAAAATTAAGTTATACGTGTAAAAAAAAAAAAACAGAATGAAAACTGCATTTGCTTTGCAGGCCATTATATATTAGACCTACTATAGTAATCTAAAACTTTCAGCATCTTTGCCATGTGACTAAGCTAGCTAAAACAGCAATTTAACGTTGACTAAATCTGATTGTTTGGAACAATTTTATAATAGGACTAAATTGGACTGTTTGTTGTGGATTTAAGGTAATTTAACTAATTATGGTAGTAGTAATTAAAATGAATTGGACTGAATTAGTAAGTACTTAAGCTGATACAAATTTGACCTGGTTGCTTCTCTGCACAGTGCCCTAGGATGACTTCTGTTGTGAATTAACTGAGTATAAATAAACTGTGTTGAATTGAGCCGCACGGTGGAACGGTGCTTAGCAATGTTGCCTTGCAACGAAAAAGGTTCAAAACTCATCTAGGATTGTTCTGTGTGGACTTTGCATGTTTTCTCCATGTGTGCTTTTTCCAGGTGCCTAGGTTTCCTCCTATGACATGCAAGTCAGATAAATGACTAATGATAAGTCTATATTTGTCCTTAGTGTGACTGTGTATACATGGATGTTACAAAAATGTGACAGATTTTGTGTTTTGTGGCGAACACGTGATCTTAAGCTGAGAATACATTTTTCATCTGGTAGTTTTGTAAAATTGTATTTGAAACAACACAATATTGCTATTTAATGGCTGAAATGATGCGCAATAACATTTGTGCTGTAAATGAAGCCACATTTATCTGACAGCAACCTAACTGCTGTCAACATGCTAATGCTTGGAAGTTGGAGTTTTAAAATTGGCTCAGCTTTTTTTTCTTGGAACAATGAGATGAAAAATCAGTGGATTCAATTTGTGGAAAACTAGATAGATAAGCTCTAAATGTGATAACAGGATAGACATTGAGTTATGGCTGTTAATTTTGTGTAGAGCTACTTATGGAGGGCTGTAAATCCTCTCTAACAACCACCTCTGCAGTCATTATTTTCCATCCATCCATCAACTTTACCTGTTTCTTCTTTCTGGGTCGTGTGGGTCACTGGTGTCCATGTCCAGCCATCACTGTGAGAGGCGGGGGACACCCTGGACAGGTCTCCAGCCCATCACAGGGCCACATATAGAGACAAACAACCATTCACTCTCTCACTCACACCTAAGGACAATTTAGAGTTACCAGTCAGCCTAACATGTTTTTGGTCTGTGGGAGGAAACTGGAGTACCCGGAAAAAACCCACGCATGCACGGAGAGAACGTGCAAACTCCACGCAGAAAGGTCCCTGGCTGGGATTCAATCCAGCGACCTTCTTGCTGAGAGGCAACAGCTCTACCAACTGTGCCATTTCATTATTTTTCATCATGCAGTTTTTCAAACTTTTATTGAAACCAATCAAAGTGCTGCTATTAAAAGTCTAATGTATATCCATCCATCCATCCATCCATCCATCCATTATCTTTTACCCGCTTATTCCATTTTGGGTCACGGGGGTCGCTGGTGCCCATGTCCAGCAATCACTGTGCGAGGGGCGGGGTACACCCTGGACGGGTCGCAAGTCCATCACAGGGCCACATAGAGACAAACGAGACAAACAACCATTCACTCTCTCATTCACACCTAGGGACAATTTAGAGTTACCAATCAGCCTAACATGCATGTTTTTGGACTGTGGGAGGAAACCGGATGTGTCAGTAATTTTTTTTAAGTATGATTGTGACTCAAATGTGAAAATATAGCAAATTTTTGAATAAGCATTTATCTATGACAGTTTTTCTGACCAAAAATCAGCGATCTTTAGGGTACTAGCAGCTTCTTCCTAAACCAGCTCAAAGTTTGGAGGCATTTTGTTCATTTAGGCCCCTTTCACAGTGAACAACCAAACCACCAACGCACACAAAAGTCTGGCTTTTGTCTTCAGTGGGAAAGAGTTCACTCAGAATTTTTGCAGGTCAAATGACTCTTCTGTAGTCATGGATAATTATCTGACTTAACTTTAGCTTTCAATGGATGAACACATGTTTTAGAGACTTTTATAGGCACAATGTTTTCAACAAAAAAAAAACCCTGTGCCAATTATGTTTAACGTCATTATTTAACTATTTAAGCAGCCTGTAAACAAGATCATTTATTCAAAGTTGCATTTAAAGCAGCGATGGAAAACAATTTTTTATCAGTAGGCCATGTTGATTTACTCCAGTACAGCAAAAAGATGGGCCCAGCATGTCACCGTTACTTATTATATAAACCTTCATATCGCCAATTAAATACACAGTAAACTAAAGGTTTGTTCTGTTTCACCTGAGTGACAACAAAAAAAAAAAAAACAATACTAATTGCATCTTTGTTTATTGTTGGTTGCTTTTAAAGAATTTGCTCAGGTTTTATTGGTTTACTTTTTCCAATGAGGACAAGTGTGTAGCATAGGTCAGAATACAACATTCCTTTTAACATATTAACAGACTTCCTGTCAAGTGACATTTGTGAAAAATACATTTCTTATTTTGAAGCCTTTTATTGTTTGTCTCTGTCAATTAAAATTTAGCTCTAACAACAGCTTAACAGTTGTTAAAAACAAACCGTGCTTTCTGTGTTTTCTAATTTCTGGTTTTAATTTTCTGGGCGTTTTTTTTTTTTTTTTTTTTTTGTAAAACCCTTATTTTTATTTTGTTGTTAAGTCTTGCTTTGATTGAGGACAATAAGGGACAGATTTACATGCCCCTCGGGACATTTTTTTTGTCCTTGTCTGATTTAAAGAGATGGAAGTGACACAAAAAATACAAATAAATAAAAATACCTACACATAAGCATTGATTTTGGTGCATAAAAAAGACAATATATTTCTATATAAACTAAATTGTTTCCCAGATAACGCATCCATTCAATAAGTGAAATGCTTCTACTGTTGTTGCAGTTGTATTTTAATAAAAAAAAAATGGTTCTTACTTTTTTAATTGTGAGACTTTATGTTGTCAAAGCACAGAGGCAGAACTTTCACTTGGCCTGGATTTGAGTTAAGCTCAATAAATGTTAGGAGGTTAACGAGTTTTAAAATTGCTTCCTTTTGCTTTTGGGCATGGCGAACAGGTGCTGTTAGAGTTGCCAAGTACTGCACACTGCAATACTTTAAAAACAACTTTCTTTGAATAGATTATATACATTTAGCATATTTGGGGTTTTGTGCTGCATGGTTAACAAAGATTGATGTCAGAAACGTATTCATCATCACAGCTCCCTGGTTTCACGTGCAAAACCGAGACTCAAGTGCCATTAAAGCCGTGAAGCACTGGGATGCAAATGAACATCTGTGTTCATTTCTTCCATGAAGCAGAGCGACTACGACCACACTGATACCACAAAGACTGCTTTGTAGCGCTGATAAGGTTCTTACGTCTAGGACACTTGGGCAGTCACATTCCTTGAGAGAAGCCCCCAAAAATGTCATTTAGCGTCTGGCCACCTCCTCACAGTCTTTGATATTCAAATGAAACATGGCCCTGTGCAAACAGGCGCCTCAGCTGAGGAAGAGGGGGCAGAGTAAATCAGATAGGATTTCCCTCAGATGAAAAGAGCATGTCTGACACTTTCACAGCGAGCGCTGAGGAACCCTGAAGCAATGTTGCTACGATGTCATGGTGGGAAGTTACTGCCGTGTGGAAAAGGTTAGCGTATTTTTTTCCAGAATAAACTGCTCCAACCCAGCATGGAGCGAGCAGAGGAGATGAGAGCGGAGCGAAGATGAGTGGGGCATGGTCACATCACGCAC